GAATGCAGGGTCCAGGGAGACTGGATATAGTGAATGCAGGGTCCTGGGAGACTAGATATAGTGAATGCAGGGTCCTGGGAGACCAGATATAGTGAATGCAGGGTCCGGGGAGACCGGATATAGTGAATGCAGGGTCCTATGAGACCGGATATAGTGAATGCAGGGCCCGGGGAGACCAGATATAGTGAATGCAGGGTCCGGGAGACCAGATATAGTGAATGCAGGGTCCGGGGAGACCGGATATAGTGAATGCAGGGCCCGGGGAGAGACCAGATATAGTGAATGCAGGGTACTGGGAGACACTGCAGAGCCTGTGTCCCGCTCAACAGTGCAGCCATGATTGTCACCTCCCAGTTGCTTAGGAGCTTTACACTTGACTTGGATCCAGTTCATTGCTACCTCTTGCTTCTGTACCACCAAGCTAGGTCCCCCATGTCACAAAGTCGGTCCCGCCTATGGGGAACCATTCGCTAGGAAGAGGGTCAAACTCGCCAACCTGCTCACCACCAGGGTGACCATCTTCTATGCCAGGTACCAACCTTCCCGCTGGCTGCTCTTGCATTCACACCACTTTACTGGTTACCAGTAGTATCAGCATTATATCCCATCTCCCACCAACAATTAACCTTTCAATGGTGGCCCTCATATACTTGTGCTCAAAAGTTTGCATACCCTGGCAGAAATCATGAAAGTTTGGCATTGCTATTGAAAGTCTGACTGTTTGTGCAAAAAACTTTTATTTAACCTCTTCACGCCAGGGCCTCCTGGCCCCTTACGGGGTTTCAGATGCCAGGAGGTGGGCGGGGTTTAGGGTCATGTGACCGCCATGATTCACTGTCACATGATTGGAAAAGGTCCTGATCGCAAGGGGAGATCGGGACTTTTCCGTGAGACACTGACATATGTGCTGGGAGCGTAACGTCAGCACATATGTGTTTTCAGATGGTACACAAATATGCGGCCGCTCGCCGTCAAGGGGTTAAGGATAGTGATTATAGGAAGCCATTTATTATCACATAGATTTTGGTTCCTTTTTAAATCAATGATAACAGAAATGGCCCGGATCAGAGGTTTCCCTCCCCTGGAATGTTTGGCCTTGGTACAGACACACAAGGTGACACACAGGGGTTAAAGTGGCAGGTAAAGGTTCATTTCCCACATCTGTGGCATTTTAAATTGCAATTAGTGTCTCTCTATAAATAATCAATGAATTTGTTAGCTTTCATGTGCATGCACTGAGCAAGCTAGATCTGAACCATGGGGAGCAGAAAAGAACTGTCAAAAGACTTGCGTAACAAGGTAATGGAACATTATAAAGATGGAAAAGGATATAAAAAGATATCCAAAGCCTTGAATATGCCAATCAGTACTGTTCAATCATTCATTAAGAAGTGGAAAATATGAGGATCTCTTGATATCAAGTCAAGGTCAGGTAGACCATGAAAGATTGCAGCCAGAACTGCCAGGCAGGAGTCGGGAGATGCAGCCGCAATTTGGAGACCACTGCGTTAGCAGATGCAACGATTAATGGCATGTCTGCGAAAAGTCTTCACGTTTCTGTGCATGTCAGGAAAGCTTTCGATTTTGCACAGTTTAGGGAGGTCTGTTTATGTTGGCTGGTGGGGATTTATTGTTGCTCGAAGGGATCTATTTTTTCGGGAGGGTCTATTGTGCTGAGGCGGTCTATTAATGCTGGTGGCAGATCTGTTGTTGCTGGGGGTGGATCATATGTTGCTGGGCAGCGTCAATTGTTGATTATAGGGATCTACTGTTGAGGGGGGTTATTGTTGTTATTGACTGATGAGAGATTTGTTGTTGCTGGGGGGATCTATTGTTGTGGGCTGCAGGGGATCTATTTTACTGCTTTTGTTAAATTCCCTGTTGAGGGGGGTTATTGTTGTTGCTGGCTGAGGGTTGATTTGTTGTTGCTGGGGGGATCTATTGTTGCCAGGGGCGGACTGACCATTTGGAAACTCAGGCATCGCCTGAGGGCCTGGGGTCAGTAGGGGGCCCCATGAGATGCCCCTGGTACCTTTTTCATAGGCTTTTTTGAGTTTGGGCAAGGACACAGGGGCCCCATGATCCCCTATTGCCCGAGGGCCCCATGAGTTGTCAGTCCGCCCCTGATTGTTGCTGTCTGCAGGGGATCTATTTTACTGCTTTTGTTAACAAATTCCATACAAATTTTTTAGCACCACAAAATGATACTTGGTTCTGTGATCTCTAAAAGGGCTGTACTTGGAGGGTAGGGGTGGAGACAAGGGGTGACTCTGAGCCTGGATTCGCACTGATGCGGTGCGGAAATCGCAGTGTTTTCACTGCGAATTCCGCACTGCATCAGAATCGCACCCCGTTCATGCGAACCGCTGCGGGTGTGTATGTTAAGTTAACAACACCCCAAAAGTGATCCGCAAAACGTGGTGCAATGTGCAGGATCGGATCGTATAGGTGTGAATACACATGCGATCTGATTCTACTGCGGACTAAAAACAGGGTCCTGCACGTTTTTGGTGCGAGTGCGGTGCAATTAGTGCCATACAGAATGTACGGCTCCAATCGCACCGCACACAAATCACATGTGATTTGCACAGGAATGTACTGCGGTTCCTGTGCGAATCACATGCGATATACCGCACCACATGTATGTGAACCCCAGGGAGAATTCCTGCACCTATTTAACCCTGCAGATTGTAACGATTGCCATACACGCTTTAGTAAACGATCAGTGTCCTTTCCAAAGGAATAATTGATCTATAGTCAACAACTAACCATTCCATCGATATGACACACTGGGAAGTTGACTTCTGTTGTTATTGACGATACAATTGTAACATATGGTTGCTAATTATCGTTTGCATCTTTGTTTCCACCATGTCATCTCATAATCTGATCATTTAGAAAAAAATTCATATTCATGAACAAAGTATCCAAATGCTTCCAACTGATGCAGAACAATTGATCATTTTCCATCCTGGACGATCGGCTCAGTTTGATCAAATCCAATCTAAACTACAGGAATACCTCCATTTATGAACGCCTCAGTTAACGTACTTTTCGGTTTACAAATGAAAATCCATTGAAAATAATGCCTCGGTTTACTAATTTTTTTCGCAATACGAATGGATTAATTGGTTTTCAATGCATTTACGCATTGTTTTTTAATCATGTCCCTGTACAGTATTTATGCCATTAAAGTGCACTTTATAGAGTTTGAACAGATAAGACTTTTTTTTTACTTTTTTCTGACTTCCGGAGCGGATTAATTGGTTTTTCAATGCATTCCTATGGGAAACCGCGTTTCGGTTTACAAATTTTTCGCAATACGAAAAGTCCCGCAGAACACATTAAATTCGTAAACCGAGGTACGCCTATATGTCTAAATCCATTGGAAGGGAAGTTAAGGGTATTCTATTGTTTCGGGATACGATTGTTTTAATCAAATCGCACATTGACTGGATAATGGGCAGCACAGTGGCTAAATGGTTAGCATACCACCTGGCAGTACTAGGGTTGTTGGTTTGCCTGGAGTTTGCCTGTTCTCCCTGTGCCTGCGTGGGTTTCCTCCGGGTACACCGGTTTTCTCTCACACTCCAAAGACATGCTGGTAGGTTAATTGGCTCCTGTCTAAATTGTCCCTAGTATGTGTATGTATGAATGTGAGTTAGGGACCTTAGATTGTACGCCCCTTGAGGGTTAGGGACTGATGTGAATGTACAATATATAGATGTAAAGCGCTGCGCAGGGGTGGACTGACAACTCATGGGGCCCCCGGGCAATAGGGAATCATGGGGCCCCTTTGTCCTTGCCCAAACTCAAAAAAGCCTATGAAAAAGGTACCAGGGGCATCTCATGGGACCCCCTACTGACCCCGGGCCCTCGGGCAGTGCCCGAGTTTCCAAATGGTCAGTCCACTCCTGGCGCTGTGTAAATTGATGGCACTATATAAGTACCTGAAATAAATAATAAAAGTGAAGCAGTAAGGCCACCATAAGGCTCACCATACACATGGTGTACAATGAGTTTACCAAAACGTTGTCATAGAAGAACTTCACTGAACTATCCAATCATTATGTATTCAATCAGACAGGTCCATGTACTACATATTTATCGGTAATCTAAAGAAGATTGTACAATCAGATGGTAAGGTGTATGGTCAGGTGAAAGTGTATGGTGAGTTTTAATGAGATGGTACAATTAGATTGCAATGTTCATGGTAAACTCTACAATCTCGTATATCAACCAGTTTTCGAAGTATTTCTTGTACCCTTCAAGATTAAAGTATATGTAAAAATGAACAGTGAAGCTAGTGGACTACAAAACACGTCTCCCCTATGTTATAGAGAAGAGGAGAGGGAGAGGCATCTCTTTATTCTGTCCTAGGATGACTATATATTATTATACAGTATTTATATAGCGCCAAAAGGTTTGCTCAGCTCTGTACATTATAGTGGGGGACAGAACATGAGACAATACAGTAACAATACAATACACAAGGGGTTCGAGGGCCCTGCTCCTTGGAGCTTAAATATAGAGGACTACAGAATCCCTGTGTTACAGGGATGTGTTACGGGGATGATAGGAGGGGGCGGGGTTTTGTAGCCCTATCCTAGGGTGGCCACGCTGTTTCTCCATAAGTACAGTGAGTGAGCGTTGTCACCCTAGGACAGGAAGTGTGTGTGTCCCTGGCAGGATCACCAGCTGAAACTAAAAAGTCTGTTCCTATGTCTAGATTATCTTCACACTAGAAGACCATGCAGTCGAATTGTAAGGTGTGTGGCCAGTTTGGGTTAAGGACCCCCCCTCTTCCTGCACATTAAGGCACACAAACACAGAAAAGCAAGTCAATCGGTTGTTTAATTTTATTAAACGAACAAATATGCGTTCTAAAGCAGCAGATACAGAATCGAATACAAATCTACACAAGTGTCTGGAGTAAACGTTGGTGGATCTGTGTTTCTGGGGACATATGGGGGGGCAAGGCAGTGTCTCTGGGTCGGGGGTTATGGGGTGAGACAGTCCGTGCTGTCCAGTGATAGATAGATCTGGGCTTTGCACTGGAAGGTGCTGGATGTGTCCGGGATGAGCTCACAGCTGTGCAGGTTCGGAGAGACGTCTTTCACACACAGTGCCTGCAGGGGGAGACAAAGAGAGGATGAGAAGACATACAGGATGGATGGAAGTCAGTCCACCCCAATGCCTGGGCTTCTTTTATCCTTTGGGTGGCTCCAGTAATAAGAGCTCCCTGTTGAACGACACAGCAAAATATATACGTAATTAAGAAGAAACGTAATTCATATTTTTTATTCTGCAGCTTTCGTTAAAACTTTACCTGGTGATCCTGCCATGAAGGTCCTTGTACAGGCACTTCCTGCTCTAGGGTGACAACGCTCCGTTCTTCTCACATCAGTGTGCTGCGTTAGAGGGCTGACAACTCATGGGGCCCCCAGGCAATAGGGGATCATGGGGCCCCTGTGTCCTTGCCCAAACTCAAAAAAGCCTATGAAAAAGGTACCAGGGGCATCTTATGGGGCCCCCTACTGACCCCGGGCCCTCGGGCAGTGCCCGAGTTTCCAAATGGTCAGTCCGCCCCTGGCAGTGCGTTGCGTTTTTGGAAAAAACCCTTTTGCACCCTAAGCAGAGTGTAGGTCCCCCTTTTGCTACCAAAACAGCCCTGACCCATCAAGGCATGTGCACTACTAGACCTCTGAAGGTATGCTGTGGTTTCTGGCAACAATCTGTCAGTAGCAGATCCTTTAAATCCTGTAAGTTGAAAGGTGGGGCCACCATGGATCAGATTGATTTTTCCAGAAAATCCCACAGATGCTCAATTGCACTGAGATCTGGAGAATTTGGAGGACAAATCAACACCCCAAACTCATTGTAGTGTTCCTCAAACCAATCTTGAACCATTTTTGCAGTGAGGCAGGGTGCATTATCCTGGCTGAAAGAGGCCACTGCCATCTGGGAATACCGTTTCCATGAAAGGGTATAACTGGTCACCAGCAATAGACCTAAGAGGAAAAACACAGCTCTAGGTCTGTGCAGCAGGATCCACCCAACCAGGGGCGGACTGACAACTCATGGGGCCCCCGGGCAATAGGGGATCATAGGGCCCCTGTGTCCTTGCCCAAACTCAAAAAAGCCTATGAAAAAGGTATTGGGGCATCTCATGGGGCCCCCTACTGACCCCGGGCCGTCGGGCAGTGCCCGAGTTTCCAAATGGTCAGTCCGCCCCTGGAAGTGCGTTGCGTTTTTGGAAAAAACCCTTCATGCATTTTGGTAAAAACTGATAACCATCAATGTTTAAAGACAGTCATATTCCGCTGCAGGCTTCACCTTCTTCTCCAGCCACCCAGCATCAGGAGAAGGCTCCCCATCCAACTCCACAGTCCTCGTAACCAAGGGGGGAAAAAGCTGCTCACCATGGAAGCCAAGGTTAAGATGACTGAAGCAAATCAATGCAAAGGCAAGTCCACCAGGTGCAAGCGAAGCCAACATGTTTCACTCCTAGTTGGAGCTTAATCATATAGTCTACAATGAAGCTCCAATAGGCTCCAGTTAGGAGTGAAATGTGTTCGGTTTGGTCACACGGAGAAGTCCACCAGGTGCAGCTGACCCTAACGCATACATTCCTAGTTGGCTCCTAACTGTAGTGTCTATGCCTTGGTTCCAGGAAGCTCCAGATCGGAGTGAAATGAGTAGGAGTTGGTTGTACAGACAAGTCCACCAGGTGCAACCAACCCAAATGCATTTCACTTCTAACTGGAGCTAAATTTTAGAGTCTAGGATGAAGTTCCAGTAGGCTCAAGCTAGGAGTGAAATGTGTTAGGGTTGGTTGCAAAGACAAGTCCACCAGGTGCAACCAACCCTAATGTGTTCATTCCTAATTGGCGCTTAATTGCAGCATCTATGACTAACACTAACCGCTAACACGTTAATTCATTTTTGGCATAGTGTCTACAACTAGGTTCCAGGAAGCTCCAGATAGGAGTGAAACGAGTTGCAATGTTGGCTGCACAGACAAGTCCACAAGTCCAAGTGCAACCAACCCAAATGGATTTCACTTCTAACTGGAGCTAAATTGTAGAGTCTACGATTAGGCTCCAGTTAGAAGTGAAATATGTTAGGATTGGTCGCACAGAGAAGTCCACCAGTTGCAACCAACCCTAACGCATACATTCCTAGTTGGTGCCTAATTGTAGTGTCTATGCCTTGGTTCCAGGCTCCAGATAGGAGTGAAATGTGTTAGGTGGGGTTGCACAGACAAGTCCACCAGGTGCAACCAACCCAAATGTATTTCACTAGTAACTGGAGCTAAATTTTAGAGTCTAGGATGAAGTTCCAGTAGGCTCCAGTTAGGAGTGAAATGTGTTAGGGTTCTTTGCACAGACAAGTCCACCAAGTGCAACCAACCTTAATGTGTTCATTCCTAATTGGTGCTTAATTGCAGCATCTACGACTAACACTAACCATTAACACGTTCATTCATTTTTGGCGCTTAATCATAGTGTCTACAACTAGATTCCAGGAAGCTCCAGATAGAAGTGAAACGAGTTGCAATTGTAAGCAAGGTTGGTTGCACAGACAAGTCCACTAAGTGCAACCGACCCAAATGTATTTCACTTCTAACTGGAGCTAAATTGTAGAGTCTACGATTAGGCTCCAGTTAGAAGTGAAATGTGTTAGGATTGGTCGCACAGAGAAGTCCACCAGTTGCAACCAACCCTAACGCATACATTCCTAGTGGGTGCCTAATTGTAGTGTCTATGCCTTGGTTCCAGGAAGCTCCAGACAGGAGTGAAATGAGTAGGAGTTGGTTGCACAGAAAAGTCCACCAGGTGCAACCAACCCTAATGTGTTTTACTGGTAATTGGAACTAAATTTTAGAGTCTAGGATGAAGCTCCAGTAGGCTCCAGTTAGGAGTGAGATATGTTTGGGTTGGTTGCACAGACAAGTCCACCAGGTGCAACCAACCCTAATGTGTTCATTCCTAATTGGTGCTTAATTGCAGCATCTACGACTAGGTTCCAGGAGGCTCCAGTTATGAGTAAAACGCGTTGGTGTTGGTTGTACAAACAAGTCTACCAGGTGCAACCAACCCAAACTGGTTTCATTTCTAACTGGAACTTAATCGTAGAGTCTATGGTTAGGCTTTAGTAGGCTCCAGTTAGGAGTGAAATGTGTTAGGGTTGGATGCACACAGAAGTCCACCAAGTGCAACCAACCCTAATGTGTTCATTCCTAATGGGCACTTAATAGTAGCATGTATGACTTGGCTCCAGTTAGGAGTGAGATATGTTTGGGTTGGTTGCACAGACAAGTCCACTTGGTGCAACCAACCCTAACGTGTTCATTCCTAATTGGCGCATAATTGCAGCATCTACGACTAGGTTCCAGGAAGCTCCAGTTAGGAGTGAAATGTGTTAGGGTTCTTTGCACAGACAAGTCCACCAGGTGCAACCAACCCTAATGTGTTCATTCCTAATTGGTGCTTAATTGCAGCATCTATGACTAGGTTCCAGGAGGCTCCAGTTAGGAGTGAAACGCGTTGGAGTTGGTTGCACAAACAAGTCTACCAGGTGCAACCAACCAAAACTGGTTTCATTTCTAACTGGAACTTTAATCGTAGAGTCTACGGTTAGGCTTTAAAAGGCTCCAGTTAGGAGTGAAATGTGTTAGGGTTGGATGCACACAGAAGTCCACCAGGTGCAACCAACCCTAATGTGTTCATTCCTAATGGGCACTTAATAGTAGCATGTATGACTTGGCTCCAGCTAGGAGTGAAATGTGTTAGGGTTCTTTGCACAGACAAGTTCACCAGGTGCAACCAACCCTAATGTGTTCATTCCTAATTGGCGCTTAATTGCAGCATCTACGACTAGGTTCCAGGCGGCTCCAGTTAGGAATGAAATGCATTAGGTTGGTTGCACAAACAAGTCTACCAGGTGCAACCAACCCAAACTGGTTTCATTTCTAACTGGAACTTTAATCGTAGAGTCTACGGTTAGGCTTTAGTAGGCTCCAGTTAGGAGTGAAATGTGTTAGGGTTGGATGCAGACAGAAGTCCACCAGGTGCAACCAACCCTAATGTGTTCATTCCTAATGGGCACTTAAAAGTAGCATGTATGACTTGGCTCCAGTTAGGAGTGAGATATGTTTGGGTTGGTTGCACAGACAAGTCCACCAGGTGCAACCAACCCTAATGTGTTCATTCCTAATTGGCGCATAATTGCAGCATCTACGACTAGGTTCCGGGAGGCTCCAGTTAGGAGTGAAACGCGTTGGTGTTGGTTGCACACACAAGTCTACCAGGTGCAACCAACCCAAATTGGTTTCATTTCTAACTGGAGCTTAATTGTAGAGAGTAGGCTCCAGTTAGGAGTGAGATATGTTTGCTTTGGATACACAGACAAGTCCGCCAGACGCAGCCAACACTAATGCGTTTCACTCCTAACAAGCTTAATTGTAGAGTCTACAATTAGGCTCCAGTAGCCTCCTGTCAGGGGTGACAACCTAACCTTTCATTTTACAATGAACAGCTTTCCCCCCTTTCTCCTAAAGATGGAGGTGTTGGTAAAAAAGGACACTACATTGCTCCAGGGCAATGCATGGAAAAGGCACTAAAAACGCACTAAAATTTCCAAAAAAACACAGACACAACCCACATAATGGAGACAGGGAAATACAAAAACCGGCATGTGATACGAATGAAATCTGTATGTATAACACATGTTGTGTTACGTTATGCAATGCATTAAAAATGTACTAAAAACACATTATGCACTTTGCGGAGAACACGCGTGCATTTCTAATGGCACTGAGCTGTGAGTAGCCCGTAAACTGAGATGACGCAGGGACTATGTGATCTGTAGTGTGCACAGAGCAGTACGCATGACCACAACTAACATTCATTGCTCATTCCAAACAAATGGAAGTGAGGAGAAAAGGAGAGGTTTGGAAACACATGATACATTAGTGTGATGGCCAATGGGAAGAATGCTCCTTACACTTGTGGTCATTGAGAAGAATTCCCCTCCTACAGATAGCTAAAAAGATCAGTGGTGTCAGTGGGAACTTATCTGAGAGGCTGAAATTGCTCAAGGAACCCCTAGCAAGCTCTGGAGGAACTCT